CATGTCAGGAACCACTCTCACTTCAGGTTGACTCTAGAAGGCCCCAAGATGTTGCTCAAAAACTTTGACCAACATCTGATGTTGACTTTCAAAATAAATCACCTCCAAAGTTTAACATAGTTCATAGTAATAGTCAAAAGTAGCTGACCTTGTTGCAACATGAGTTAACACGAACATGAGTGTAATTTGTCAATGATTCAATAACGAGTAATAACTTATTCAATAATAAGTCTGTAATTTGTCAATAATAGTCAATAATTCATTCAAGAATAGATTATGGGTGTTTGGTATGGCTCAGTGGCTAAAATGGGTTGGATGTTAGAGAAATTACTTAATTTTCAATTACCTGAATGCACAAATTCCTTCATTTATAGTTAAACTTTAGGAAATCAACTTTTTTTTTCCCTTGTGAAATATCAAAATTAACTTTTGCTATTCATTTTGAATAGATTGGGGAAGAAAAACAGCCCAGGCTGTGTAGAACTGCTATTTTGTAAAAATGTTGTGCTTGGTGATCTAATCATATTTTTGTTACAACTTCAGGTGTTGTGAACTGGAGGAAATATTCTGAAGAATTTCAGGCCTAGCACAGAAAGCCTTATGTCATTTCTGTCTGCTTCAGCTGTGGAGAAGAATTTAAAGATTGTGGTGCAGGTTTCTGTGGCAGTGTCAAAAGAGGAGAGCCTTCCACAGTGAAGCCATTACTCCTGGGTACTGCACCCACTTTTGTGCAATGGATGCAGGGTTAGTAGTCCAGCTTTTGTACTGTGATGCCCACACATTACAATAAGTAACAACTAGCAACACCCTAACTGTACTATGTTTTGTTTCCAACAGATGCTACGATGACTTCTAAAAATGGATGTCCCAATAAACACAATTAAAAAAAATCAATGATGCATCAAATGTTGTCTGAGTATGTTTTAAGGTAATAACAAATGTGAAATCTGGAAAACAAAGAGAATTCCTGAATCTGTCTTGTGTGCTTTGATGTGTACATAAGTTTATTGGAGGTCCTGAAACAACTTTTCTGAGAACCCAAAGATTTTTATTTTACCTTTGCCAAGATGTCAGTTTGAAATCAGGCTGCTTACTGTAAAACCAAGAGTTTTTTTTTAAGACAGACAGTCTTCATTTGTATTGTTTTGTCGACTAAGCTAAATGTAATTTCTAAAATATGGATAAATCTGATCTCATCATGCAGTAAGCAACTGGGTATAGGTGTGAGGGCCAAAAGTCTGGTTATGTACTGGCTCCTAAATGTGCTTGTTTTCTACTGAAACATGGAGTAGTTGACCTTTAAAATGTGAGACAGCTGAGGAAGTTAACCAGTAAACAGAAATACCTGCTCCAGTTGCAGAAA